GCCACCGCTTCCTGAGGACATGTGACTTCCTGTTTTCTAAATTCTTAGCCTGCAGTGTCATTGTCAGTTCGTCTGAGACTGGGAGTGGGGTTGAGCAGCAGTGGGACCCGGGCTCAAAGTTGGGGGTGCAAAGTAAGGAAGGTCAGAAGGCCTGGAAGGTGGCCGTTCCGACCTTGGTCGTGGGCTCCTGTGATTAATACTGGTGACATTAGTTCCTGTGTACTGAGCACTCACCAAGGGCCAAGTCCACCCCACTCGAGGGCCGGCCGCACGCCCTGGGAAGGAGCCAGGGTTGCTCCGGGTCACGTGGTAGATGAGCCAGGTCTCGTCCTCACCTGCGGCGCCTAAGTGCTTCTGTTGAAGGGCAGATGAACTGGACGTGAGCAGGCCGGGAAAGGCTGCCCTGTAGAATGGCCTACTCTGCATAATTTGGGCTTCTGGAGACAGAACTGGAACCAAAGTGACTTTCTTACACTCTGAAGATTAGAGCTCTCCATCTTCGTGGGTGGGAAGTGAGTAGCTCCCCATCACCAGAGATGTTGAAGCAGAGGCGGGAGGTGCAGCTCAGGGAAACCTGCAGAAGGACTCAAGTCCCTGGGGACACACAGGAGAGAAGAGGAACTTTGCATCAGGTGCCCTCCAGAGCTTTCCCGCTGTGCAACCTTTTGGCCTTAACAAGATCTGTCTGAGCCTGCAGCCAGATCACGGGAGGGCAAGGCATGCTGTAGACCATGCAGGGTGCGTCCTGCCACGAGGGCGTCATTTGGTGAGGCCGGGATTCTCAGCACGCCCACACTGCCGAGCGCCTCCTGTGCACCCAGCCCTCCCTCCACAGTCACCAGCAACTGGGTGCTCACACCCCTGAAAGGCAGGTGTTCCCCTCGCCAACCAAGGAGCCTGGCAGCTTCCACCCGACTCTGGCTGGAAGGGGTGGCAGATGGGAGGCCTGCTGGTTCCTGCTGTTTGCACCAGCAGAGCCTCTAGGGTGGCCAGAGGGCCCTGGAGCCAGTGCCCTGCTGTGCGCCTGTCGTCCCAGCTACTCGGGAGGGAGGCTGAAGCAGGCGGTTGGCAAGCTCCAGCTCAGCCCGGCAGCAGAGTAAGATGCTGCCAGAGATGGCAGGTGTCCCCCACACCTGGTCTCACCTGCTCTCTGTCTCTGCCTTGGGATGCCCTTCTTGTCAAACTGCTTCTGTGGATGGGAACTGATGCTGGAAGGGCTAAGGGAGCTGCCCCCGAATGCCAGTCAGAGTCGAACCCAGTGTGACCGCGTCTTCCCGACGGAGGGCTGCGTCCTTTCTCCTCCTCGAGGGCAGCGACAGGCCAGTGAAGAGGTGGCAGCAAGGGTACCAAACTCACCCGCCAGGCTGCCAGAGGGGCCTCGCGACCTGAGCCTGCCGCGGCTGTCGGGCAGACAGCAGAGGCAGGGAGGCCCGGAAGGAGGGGAACAGGCTCTGCCTGGGGCTGAGAAGCAAGGGGTTGCACGTGCCCTGAGGTGGCATCCTGGGGGGCAGCCTGCATGTGTGGCAGCCTGCATGTGTGGCAGCCTGCATGTGTGGCCTTGAGGGCTGAGCTGACAGCCCCACCCAGACTCTGGACACCATTGTCCATGCGGAGGAGCTGGAGGCTGTCATTGACTGGTTGCCTGCTGGTGCCTTCTTATTCAGTGCTCACCACAGTCTGACGGTAGACGCGAGGCCCTCCATTTTGCAGATGAAGAAACTGAGGCCCAGCGGGAGGTGACTTCCCAAGACCATGCAGTTAACAGGTGGCAGGGGAGGTACTAGGGTCTCCCTGTCTCTGGTCTGGGGCTCCTCAGCCTCAACAGCCCCCGGCTCAGAGCTGATGCCCCCGAATCATCTGATGACGTAGTTGAATTGGGTCCTGGCTCTCACTGCCTTTTCTGGGCCCTGGCCTCCCCGCACAGCACAGGGACGGAGGATGGGGAGCCTGCTGGGGAGGGGTGTGCCGTCCATGTCCTTCTCCTCCCCAAGCAACGGGGCAGCATCCCACTTGCCCTGGCCGGAAGATTCTGCTGCTCCCTGAGCAGGAAGGAAACCTGTGGCAGTCGCTCATCTCCAGGAAGACGGCCAACCCCCTGCCCCCACTGTGCCGCGTCCACACAACACAAAGAAACGCTGCTTCCTATCTGTTCGAAATTCACATCCAGTGATCCTCTGTTCTGCGTTTCTCTCGGCCCTTTATATGAATCTCAACCACCCCATAAATCGCCACCAGCGTCTCCTCTCCAGCCCAGAAGGCAAAGCGCCCCCGGCTGTGGGGACCTTGGCTGGAGCCGAGGGTCTCTGAGCCCTCAGGGCCTCGCCGAGGGTCAGCGCGAGTGTTGTGGAGAGGCACCCAGGGGTCCCGGTGCTCCTGGCCAAGGAGGGACGCAAGTCCTGCTACGTCCTGGAGTGCTCTGTGGGCTGCCCAGGAGACGTGCCAGCACAGCCCGAGCCGGGCACCCCGGGGTCACCACCCACATGCTGTGTTCTTGCCCGAGAGGATTCTGGCAAGACCCCAGCTTAGCGAAAGAACGGCAAAATGTGTTAGAAGAGAGGACGACGGAGAAGGGGACAATCTCAAGGGAGGGTGGGTCCTCTCAGAGAGGAGGGGGCACCCCCCCTGCCCTCCAGTTTTATTGGGAGGGTCACAGGAAAGTTTCCAGAGAGTCCCATCCAGGTCCACCTCTTGACTTCTGTTTGTTTTGGTGCTGGGGAGTGAACCAGGGGTGCTCAACCCCTGAGCCACACCCCAGCCCTTTTTTATATTTTATTTAGAGACAGGGTCTCACTGAGTTTTTTAGGGCCTCACTAAGTTGCCGAGGCTGGCAACCCTCCTGCCTCAGCCTCCCAAGCTGTCGGGATTTACAGGTGTGTGCCACTGTGCCCGGCTACCGCTTGACTTTTTTTTAATCTTTATTTTTTAGTTGTAGGTGGACATAATACCTTTATTTATTTATTTTTAATGTGGTGCTGAGGATTGAACCCAGTGCCTCACCCATGCTAGGCCAGCTCTCTACCTCTGAGCGCCAGCCCCAGCCCCCTACCTCTTGACTTTTAACAGTAGGATTGTCTCAGACTTCCTAGTCCCCACTGTGCATGGTAAAGGGTCACTTTGGCCCATGCTGAGCAATTCTAATGGGAAGTCGTTCTTGCAGATTTTATGGTTGGAGGAATTATCCTTATGTCCCTGAGTTCTGGAATGTGTGAGGGTCGCAGAAGTGAGGTGGGAGGGACCTTCTGGGCCTGCACTTCTGTAGATAGCGGGTAGTTTGCTGAGGAGCATAGTGTCCGGTTTAGCCAGGGGGCTGCAGGCGAATTGCTTTTTAAAAGAAAGGGCTGTGGGGGCGGCACAGTGGGCCGGTGCCCGCCCTCCTGACTCCTGTTCCTTCCCCGACAAGAGCCATCACAGAAGGTGGGTCGGGTGGGGTTGCAGGAGGGGGTAGTGCCAGCACTGGCAGGCCTGCAGAGTACTGGCTCCAGCAAAGGCCGGCGCAGGGCCGCACTGTGCGGTCAAGGAGAGACAGCAGTGAGCAGGGCTGTCTGGGCCTGGGGTGCTGAGGCAGACCTGGGTGGTGGGCCCTGGTTGGTGGCAGGAGCTGGGCTTCCCTGCCAGGGTCTGGGTCATCCGGTCTCTGAGCAGGGACTGGGGGAAGTTGACAAAAATATCAGCTGGCTGGGGCCAGGAGGGGTCTTGAATCAGGGTGGGCACCAAAGGCTGTGGACAGAGGTGTTGAGGGTGGTGGGGATGGGGACAGGGGGGCAGCCTAGTCCCAGCTCCACGGCTTGTGGGGGGAGCCAAAGGGTCACTGGCAGGGAGGGTCCTCCCTGTGAGCTCTCTCCTGAGCTCTGGCGCCTGGGGCCGCTTGGAGGATCTGAGGAAGACCACACCATGGCGGTGAGCGCTGGCCACGCGCTCACTGAAGGAATGTGGCAGTTCCCATGCTCTTGACAGAAGGCAGCTGAGGGGGTCAACTTGCCCAAGTCACCCAGCTAGTAAGGCTGCGCGCTCCTCAGGACCTTGTCTACTCCCTGTGCCCGCTTGAGCCCTCTGCGGCCACCAGAGGGCGCCTGCGTCCGCAGAGGCCACCTGGCTGGGGTGGAGGGAGGGCGACCAGCTGCTGCGTCCAGCCCAGAAGCTGCGTCCCCTCCCTAACGGTGCCAGAATCTTTTAAATAAAAATGTAAGCCACACATTTACTGGACCATGTCCCTGCCCTTTGTACCCGAGTACCAGCTCAGGGTGCACTGAGGGCAGTGTGAGAAGGTCAGTACAGCAGCAGGAGCTGGGCACCCTTGGAAACTTGGAGTGGAGAGGCTGAACAGAGGACTGCTGTGGCAGGATTTTAGGGAGGAGGAGGAAGAGGAGCAGCGTGGGCAGTGTGCGCAACGGCACAGAGGTGTGTCTAGGGGGTAAGGACTGGTGGACAGGGAGTTCAGGCCCCAGAGGGAGGTGGACCTCTGGTCCCTTGGGGCGTAGGAAGCCAAGCACCAGAGCCACCACTGGGGTGGAGAGTCCTGGCAGTGAGGAAGCTGGGAGTCAGGAGGGTAGAGCTGACCCTGGTTCTCATCGTCCTGACGTCACCACTAAGTCTCTGAGCCCACCCTTCCCAGGCCCCAGAGTCCTGCTCTCTCGGTGGGTGGCCTTGGGAGCCACATACCCTAGTCATCCAGATGGGGGCATCTGGCTGAGGCTTCCTGAGTTCACGGCTCACGTTGGGCTCACTTGCAGCTGGGGCCAGGCTCCCAGGGCACGAGCCCTGTGGTGGACAGTTTAGCAGTCCTGGGTGCCTGCCCCATCTTCCCAGGCTCTGGGACTCCTGCAGGTATCACGCAGCCACCATGGCGGCAAGCTGCTCCAGGAGCTGGCTGAGGTGGGATGGCAGGACGGGGTCTATGTCCTTGTCATGGTTTCTTTGGCCACCCAGTCACGGGGCTACTCTGGGTGGTGGGACGTGTTCTTGTTATCCTGGGCCTGGCTGACCAGGGTCTCTTGACACAGAGGCACAGAGCTTTGGCCTGCTGGATCCTAAACTCTGCTACCTGCTGGATGGAATCCTCTTTATCTACGGTGTCATCATCACTGCCCTGTTCCTGAGAGCGAAGGTGGGTACCCAGGGCTCTGGAGAGGGTGCAGGCTTCTCCACTTGGGGAGAGTACAGAGAGGCCTTGGTCTTAGTTTCAGGCTTGGTGGTACCTGGGGCTTGGTTCCCACAGCAGAGCAGGGCCAGACCCAAGTGTATATTTGGGGCTGAGCCTGATGGGGGTGGGGGAGCTGGTGCTGCACCAGTGCCTGAATGGCAGCGTCCCCTGCAGGGGCCACTGCTGGAGAGCTTATGCACAGGTGTCATGGTCAGGAGGTGGAGGACCCACAGCCTCTTCCCAAGTCCTGCTACCAGCTGCCACCTGAGGCCATGTCAGCTTCTCTACAAACCTCAGTTGGCTCAGAGCCCTGATTTTACCATGGGCTGGTGAATTTCTTAGAGACCCCAGATTTCTTAGAGGGGCTGGACCTGGTGTGGACAGAGGGTGGAGGTTACTGTCTGTCATCACTCCAGTGCCCTCTGACCCATTTCCCCCTTGGAATTTGTGCTCTGACATAAGATTTTACTTAAAAAAAAAAAAAAAGAACTTTTTTTTTTTTTTTTTTTTTTTTTTTTTAATTTGGAAAGGAGCCCTGGCTGATCTCCAAGTTTCTTTCCAGTGCCCTGACTCTAATGCCTCGAAGTTCCTCCACTGAGGTGGCCTGGCCTGGAGAAAAAGCCAAGTTGTGCTGAACTTGGGGCAGATGCTCCAAGTGCTGGAGCCCAAGGCTGAGGCTTCCTGCTCAGGTGCCGCAGGGCTAAGGTAGAGGGCTAGGGTAGGGGAAGGACAAAAGCCCTGGCCCAGGGGGCGAGACAGGAACTTGTGCAGTCACAACCACTGTGATTGTTCCCAGTCCCTGGAATGCCCACCCTGCACCTCTGTGGGCAAGGGCGACTGGCTGGGAGAGGAAACCTCAGATTCCGGGACAAAGTCACAGGCAGGCGCAGAAAGGGCAGCTGAGCTCAGGAGGAGAGGGCTGCCGCCTCAGACCCCTGCAGGCAGCACAGGCAGGGCAGGGCCACCATGAAGCCCTAACCCGCTGCTCTGTTGCAGTTTGGCAGGAGTGCAGACGTCGCCGCCTTGCAGCAGGGCTCAAACCAGCTCTACAATGTAAGTCCACTGGTCCACCTGTCTGTCTGTCACCTGCAGGCAAGTAGTTTGCCGTTTTCTGACCCCATGAGACATGGCAGGGATGCCGTGAGCATGTGAGGCACGGTGTAGCCAAAGATGTAGCCAGCCTCCAGGGAGCCGCTCGGCCTTCAGCAATTCGCAAAGGCTAGAGGCTGCAGAGAATCCTCCCAGCAGAGGATGACAATCACATGTCCCTTTCAGTGGGACTTTGGTCCAACTGATGACCCTCTAGCAGCCTGGGCTTCCTTATCTGCTCCTGGGAATGTTGTTACATTTGATTGACCAGCATGTAGTAAGAAAAGCATCTGGTGACTATGGGTCTCTCCCACGGTCATGGTAACAATCGTGCTCTGAGAGGTTCTCTCAGGTGACGGTATCCAGATGGACCAGGTCCCACCACCTCCCTCACCCTGCTCCCTGTTCCCTTTCGTTGTGAACCACCACCAAGAAGCAAAGCAGGCTCCCCCGTCCCTCTGGCCCCATCCTCCCCGGGTTCCTCTTCCTCATGTCTGACCCCTTTGTATTTTAGGAGCTCAATCTAGGACGGAGAGAGGACTATGATGTCTTGGATAAGCATCGGGGCCGGGACCCTGAGATGGGAGGGAAGCAGGTAGGGAGCACCTCTGTGCCTGTGTGGAGGTGGGCTTGTGGGTGGGTCCCCTGCACCAGCACACATGGGGCTGGGGTGAGGTGGCGGCTGGCTGGCTGCCAGCTCTCGTCCCCCTCCTTGGCTCCTTTCTGCATTACAAGGGGCCTCGAGCTCAGGAATACTTGTGGGCCTTGTGTCCAAGCGCCAGCTGCTGTCCTGGGAACTGCTCCGTGGCCACCTCGAGATGCACATGGGGCCACCACCTGCCCCCAGGAGGACAGACCTGACGAGAAGGTCCACACAGAAAGGGCTAGGACCACTTAGCGAGGATTGTGGGTCTGAGTACCCTCCAGGGCCTCCTCAGAGCCAGGCTTCGGTGGCTTTGTCAACCCCACCCCTGGTGGCAAGCGGGACAGACAACAGGGCCAGAGCAGAGTCCTCTCAGGAGCAGGGCTTCCAACAGAGGCAGAAACTGCCCTGTGGCCCTTGATGTGTTGGGTCACACCTGCCATCAGCCCTTCCCTAGCCCCTCGGAGCCCTGGGCTGGGTGTGCACTGCTAGAAGGAATGGGTAATAGGAGAGGCCACCAATTTCCTTGAACACTCCCATCCTCTTTCCTCCTCTTCCCTGGACTAGGAGGTCTGTGGGGAGGGGGAAAGGAGGGCCTGTTCTCTGCATGAAGAGAGGACCTGCAAACAGGGGGTGGCCTGCAATATTTCTGTCCTCAGCCACAGTCTCACTTGTAAGCCTTCTTTATTTTTGGTACTGGGTTTTGAACCCAGGGATGCTTCACCACTGAGCGACAGCCCCAGCCCTTTTTACTTTTTGAGATGAGGCTCCACTGAGTAGCTGAGGCTAGCCTTGAACTTGCAATCCTCCCACCTCAGCCTCCTGAGTTGTTGGGACTAGAGTGCGCCACCACCACACTGAGCACATAGAATGCTTTAGACACATGAACTACTCTGGAGGTCAAACAGACTGTCAGCAGAGACCCTGAGGCCACCCTGGGCAAGACAGGAGAAGTGTGTCTTCAAGTGCTGGCAACCGGGCGTGAGCCGCCTGGTGCAGCAGGGGCCTGAAGGTGGCCTCCCTGGGCTGTGGCGGGCAGGGAGGAGGGAGGTGGATGGCAGATCTCGCAGGTGAAGTAGGTTGGGGCAGGATGGGCTGTGGCTCGCTGGTGGCCTGAGCCTCCCCTCCTGACGTTCCCTCATTTCTTTCCTAGCAGAGGAGGAAGAATCCTCAGGACGGCGTGTACAACGTGAGTAGGGAGGACTTCACGTCAGGGCAGCGGGAGGGCTGAGGGGCTCTCCTCCACAGGTGTCCCTGCCTGGGTGGAGCGCCTGGTTTCTGCTTGCAGCCTGCAGTGCCTCTACTTGAGGAAAGGTGTCGCCCCTGTCCCCTGCCCTTGCCTTGGCTCTGTTAGCTTGGAGCCCGCTGCTGGAGTTTCCAGGTCCACCGGCCTGTGGGAGGGAGGCCACGGGCAGGCCAGGCTGGGTGGGAGCCCCTCCTAGGCTGCGGTTCCTGGGGGCTGGCATTTTCCTGAGTGCTTTTTTTTCCTGACCTGAAGCTCACACCTCCCCATGCTGGGCAAGCACTGACCACTGGGCTCCACCCCAGCCTTTTTGAGACCGGTCTTGCTGAGGCTGGCTTTGAACTGGCAATCCTGCTCAGCCTCCAGAGTTGCTGGGACTACAGGTGTGCGGAGTGCTGCTTCTTTTTGAAATATCCACTCCACCACCCTCGGAGCTTCCTGTCCTTGCTCTGCAGAAAGCCGATCCACAGCCCGTGTCATTGGCTGTGTAGAGACAACTTGCTCAAATAAATGATCAGGGACTTGGTGAGTCCTTTACTGTGCGGTGTCCCCGCCGTGGCCTACAACTTCACCATGCAAAGAGCTACAGCTCAGAGCACATCCCCAGAGGCTGAGGAGCAAGTGGTTGGTGGAGAGACGCTGGCTGCCTGAGGCTGGGGTGGGACGGTGCAACCCTGTCCCTGGGGAATCCGGAGGCTTTCTGGCGGCAGAGCCCACTCTCTTCTGCAGTAAATCAGTGCCTCCTGCCTTCTCCTCCAGGCACTGCAGAGAGAGAAGATGGCGGAGGCCTACAGTGAGATTGGGACGAAAGGAGAGGTGAGTGTGCTGCTGGACTCCTGAGGGGTTCCTCAGCGTCCTCCAGGCATGCCTGCCACAGGATCCCTCTCCCGCCTGTTCCTCCTGAGACTTACAGAAGCCCATGTGGTGGCCCCCAGGGGCAATGTGACTCCAGGGCTCCCCAGGAGGACAGTACATGAGGCAGAAGCGAGTCAAAGCCTCACTCCTAACAGGAAGCACTGAGGGCCCCAGGTGTGCCCAAGCGGTCACTGCCTGGGACGGGGGTCTCAGGGCAGGATGGAAGCACAGGGGCCCTTGTTCATAAGTGATCAAGGGTTTCAAAATGGAGAGGGGGCATGCCGAGTCCCTCTGACGGGCGCTGTGTGTCCATGATGCCCACGTGGCCAGCCTCGCACTGGGGGTTCCACGAAGTCCCCACAGACCTGGTGAGGCTTGTGTGTCCGAGGCACGAGAAGGTAAATGGCTCACCCCAGGTCACGCAGTAAATAGAGAGTGGGGTTTTCCACGACTCCCCCGGAGCTCATGACCACTGTGCAGAGCCACTCCTGGTGAGCGGACAGCAGGCGAGATTTTCCAGAGCTGCAGGGGGGCCATTTCCAAGCTGTGGGCAACAGGGCAGCCCCTGTGAGGGTCTGCGTGGGGCCCCCACCAGAGCCACCCGTGCCTGACCTTACTCTGCAGGGCCCCTTCTCCCTGGGGCGGAGGGCGGGGTAGGTGTGGAGAGCTTGGACAGTCACCTGACTTCCCAGAGGTGGGGCCTGAGCAAGAGCCCATGCTGACTCCACACACCCCTTCTCTCTCCACAGCGTCGGAGAGGCAAGGCGCAAGACGGCCTGTACCAGGTGAGCCCAGCCTCCTTCCCGGGGGGCCAGACTGAGGCCCAGGGTTCGTGCCTAGTGGCACCAGTTCTCGCCAACAGCAGGGCAGGCGCTCAGGGGCTCCTGCAGGCCAGCGGCAACCCCACTGCCCTAAGCCCCTGCGCAGGGCTGGGACCCAGCCACTCCACCAGATTATGTGGCTCCAGCCAGGAGGTTGTGGGCACCCCATGCACAAGGCCACAGCAGACGGGAGGCCACTGTCCAGAGGGTATGGGGCTCCCCAAAGGAACAGACAGCTGTGGGCACAGGCTCCTACACAAGTGACCCCTGACTGTCCACATCTGTGGCTGGGTCCTGGCAGAGGCCTTCTCTGCCTCCAGTCGGCCTTGGTCAGGGAGGATGGGCAGGAAGGTTGAAGAAAAGGGAGAGAAAGGGCAACTTCAAAAGGAAGATTGTCATTACAATGAGGTGCCTGGTTCATGCAAATCAGCGCAGATGATTATGCAAACTGAGCATATTCAATCTACTTCTCTACCAGGGTCCCCAGGGGGCCAGTTTCTCCAGGCTTCCTGGGCGGGCTTGCCACAGGACAGTGATATCAAAAGTGGCCTTGCTGGGCTTTGGGAAAAGGGTGTGGCCTTCCACCAGAGTGGGGTGGGGGCACCTTGAGTGTCAATTATTACATGACTGGCAAACACACTGTAGGGACAGGGTCTGGGAACAGCAGCCAGCCACTCTCCCTAGGACTAGTCCTCAGGTATCAGACCAGCAGATTCTCTGGAGCAAGCCTGGCCCTTTCCTGAGACTGCAGCTCAGTATTTGAGGTGGGGGGACTTCTTCCTCTTGATGACAGGAAGGGGGCCTGGTCCAGGCACCTGAGGTGCAGCTTGGGGAGAGGTGAGCACCCAGCTGGAGGGGAGCCTTCTCTCCAGCAGCTCCCCCAGCCAGGGGCCCACCTATGGCTCCTGGAGGCGGGGGCAGGGCATGGGGAAGTGGCTGCGGGTTCTGACCACTCTTCCCATTTGCTTTCACCAGGGCCTCAGTCCAGCCACCCAGGACACCTACAATGTTCTCCACATGCAGGCCCTGCCCCCTCGCTAACAGTGTGGGCCTCACCAGCCCCAGGCCTGACCTGCTGATGCCGGCTGTAAGACAGGATGAGCCCTTTACCACCGCCTTCCCTCATACTTCTCAGCCACTGAAGTACTCCCCTCCACAAACAGGATGCTTCCCAGTTGTGACATGTGCTGATCTCCAATTCCAAGCCCTGGCACAAAGAACATGTCCCTGGGCTCCAAGGGAGTGCAGCCCATGGTCATGGGCAAGGCCGTGCCCTTAGGACTTCAGACTTACTTGCTGGTGCCTGGAGAGCAGCCCTCTCCCTTGGCTCCATGTCTTAACCTGGGGTTGGGGACAATTCCCTCACAGCTGGGTTAGGTCTGCCTTGTGAAGTCCAGGGCAGGCCCCAGTGTCAGCACATGTCCTGTCTGTATTGCTGTCAGGAATCTGAGTGGCTTCGCTCCTGCTGTCTACTCCCCCCCCACCCCCCCTTCAAGGTAACTTGTGCTTGGGCCACTCTGTGGAAGGGCTGGGCAGAAGGACCAGCGGGGGCAGTCCTCCATCAGACATGCCTCTGCATCACCAAGCCGCATGCCAGGCACTGTGGGGGGTGGAAAAACGTGCAAGGCTGTCCTTGCCCTCACAGGTTCACACTCTTAAGAGGGAAAATAAGTTGTGCACAATCTGGTTTAAAAAATAGGAAATGGAGTGTGAACACGGAGTGTCACTAAGATCATGAACAAAGCGTGGGAGTGAGTAGGGAGGAGTCCTTCCTGCCCTGCTCCCAGGCACCATGCCTCAGCCTCCAGGGAATGGCAAGCCCGTCCTGGTGACTAAAGGACACGGGGCTGTGGGTGGCAAACCCTCTTTGCTCTGCTTGGTTTTAACTTATACTGGCTCGCTAAAGCCCATTTCATATAATAAATGCTTCAGTGAAACCGGTGCTGTCCCCTAAGCTCTGTTCAGCAGTCAATCTGTGATGGCGACGCAGTCGGTCACTGGGAAAGCAGTGCCACCCTTGCTCCGGGGGAACCGCCTATTCTGCCAGGAACATGCAGGTGGACATAGGTGTGCCAGTCCAGAGTGCTGCCATGGGGTCAGTGCCGGCCAAGCCATCTCAGGTAGTGGCCAAATCCACTCCTGAGGGCAGTGCCCAGTATAGGAGTGTGGGCCCAGTCTTGTGCCCCAGCCCAGAGAGGGCAACGGGCAAGGAGCCCTGCATCATCATGCCCAGCTCTGGAGGGCAGGAGACCCCCTCCCCCGGAGGCCAGAAGTGGGTGATGCTGTGGGCAGAGGGTGCCCAGGAGTCAATAGTAGCACATGCCACCGCACTGAATGTCTCAGCCCACAGGGCTGCAGGTGGGTGGTGGGCAAGAGGTCTTCAGGTCAGTTTCCCTCTGGAAGGTGGCCCTACCCATAGCGGTGGCTCTCTGTGAAGCCCCAACTCGTCGAGCCCACCTGTTAAACATTGTGAGGTCACTCTGAAGCCAGAGCCTTGGCTTGGTCAAGAAGTCCAAAGCCACCTACCCCCCAAAAACCTGGGACTCCCACAGCACTCTGTACGCTGCCAGGCACAGGGGACAGCCCAGAGAGAGGAGAACCTCCATCTGGGAGCAGCCTCACAGGGGAATCCACTCCTGAGCCTCGAACGCTGAAGTCTGCTGCTTCTGTCTGTTGAGATGAGCGAGCCGTACCCAGGGCTGCGCCAACCTAACCTCATTCCTGGAGCAGCAGTTACACACCGGCTGTGGGAACCAGCAGTGCGCTGGGGGCGCTGGACGGCTCCCAACAGCACAACTGCACAGAGCGCGGCTGGGAGAGGAGCAGACTGCCCACAGAGGAGAGTGGAGAGAGCAGAGCTCCTGGGAGAACGCGGCCCTGCGGGCAAGGGTGAGCGTGGCTGCCCCTGCCCTTCCTGAGGCCCAGCAGGACATGACTGTTAAGACCCTGCCCTGTTCCTCGTGCTGGCAGAGAGACACACCTCCCAGTCCAGGAAACAAGGAGCTGGACCTGCATGAGGAGCCCAGAGTTTGTCAAGTGGGGCAGCAGCGGAGGACCCCTCCAGGGGCTGGCCATGCCTGGTGTTTGGCCAGCTGTGGTGTGTGGGCTTCCTGCTGCCAGCGGCCCCGGGGGTCTCGGTGAGCTGGCAGTCACTTCTGTGAGTCAGAGTCGAGTCCTGAGCATGTCTGTGCCTCAGTGACAGCCCCTCGCACTGCTGCTCACGCCCTCCCCAGGAGCTGTCAGAACAGACCTACCTTACGAAACGGGACGCAGACTCAGGTCCATCCCTTCACCCTATTCCGTAGGATGTGACACAAGGTTTTCACGTGCTGAAGTCTGTCTTATGTTGTCTTTACCAAGGAGAGAGTTTCTGTGAAGAACTTGAAATTATTTTAGGAAGACACTTTACAAACTCACACACAAGCTGTAAGTGCGAGAAGGGAACCCAGTGTCTCCTCGCTTTGGACCTTCTGTGAGACAGTGGCCTCATCTTGAGATGGGCACTCTCTTCTGCAAACTCACAAACCAAGACCTCGTCCTGGGGGATCTGACCCCACAGCTTTCTGACAAGGTCAGGCTTTCTCTGGAAAATTCACCTGAGTTTCAACTCTCCTTCCTATGGAACCTGCAGTGGCCCATGAAGGCACAGTGCTGAGGGGCACAGTGAGCCAGAGGCTGCCGGGTGCGCTCCCTCACACAGGAGACCAGCCTCCCTCAGAGGACTCCGGGGAGACGAGATGCTCAGGGTCTGGCAAGATGTGCCGACGGGCGTGCCCGCCAAAAATACATCCAGGGAAGTGGAGTTCAATCCAAGTTCTGCAGTCCCACCTGCACAGCAGGAGGGGAGCTTTGAAGAGTCCCCTGTCAGGATCATCAAGCAAGAGCCTGCATGTTTGATGACACAGAGCACTTGTGTTCAACACAGGGTCCCTTCTAGACCACCTGAGGGCCTGGGGAGGGGAACTCAGTGCCACAGCTCCCCAGCTATGTGCACAGGAGCCCGAGGGTAGGAGCAAAGCCAGTGTGAGTGGATGGAGACTCGGGGCTCCCGAGAGCACCTGCTGTGAAATGCAGCCTGGAAGGGTTATATGAGTCATCTGCGAGAAGGTGGGTGAAGGATCCAGAATACCAACACAGCAACCTCACAGAAACCATGTGAAAACACTTGAAAAATGGTTTAATGATGTTTTACAACAGAAATGAACTGTACAGTTACAGTAAGTTTAATATATATATATAAAAATTACAGCAGACAAATGCATCTACACAAAATCTACCAATTCATTCTGATTCACTGGCACCTATGCAGTCTCTCCCAAGCCTTCAGCCCTGCGGGCAGCAGGAGGGGGTCACATAAAGGGCACTTTTGAAGAGACAGCACCTCTCACAGTTCCCACCACCTCCACAGGCTTGGGAGGCTTGCTAGTTCCCCAGCAGGTAAAGTCGCTTTGTTTGAGGTTTCCAAAACCAGGAAACCTCTGTTTCCCAGGGGCACAGATAACAAGGTTCAGTGCTCCAAGTCATCAGCTGATTCTTACAAAATATTTCTACCTGAGGGGAAATGGCTACACAGGCGCTCTGGGGCAGTGAGGCTATACAATAGCCACCCAGACTGCAAAGTCGTCTAAGGAGAAATGTAAAAGGACTCCCAGTAAACTACTTAGGAATTGTCACTGCCTCATTAAAGCTGCTGGACAATTTTGGAAAGAATCATTTACACCACATCTTAAGTTTCCACAAAGAAGAACTCAAACTCACATTTTAAAGTACACAAAACAAGAAGTTTTAGGAGGTCAGGGGACAATTCCCCTTGTACCCCTCCCTTGACAACAGTGGAAAAACACCCCTGAATCAGTAATTTAAAAAAGAACAAGAAAGAAAAAGGAAGAAAAAGTGGGGGAGTTAGGATATTTGAAGACAGAGAAAAAGAAAGCATCTTTAGAAAAACACAATCACTGCTTCTTTAAAACAAAACAAAACCCAGTTGGGCACAGTCATCAGTGACGATGTGATCCAGATGACACTTGGTGGAGGACTATTACTGAATATTATGTACACTCACAACTTTTTCATTTTCTTTTTTATTATGAACACCTAGGCAGTGAAAACTGTTATGTTAATACATACACAGACACACCCAAAACATACAAAAATACTATTATTTCAAACTACTAAGAATAGGACAGTTCAATTAGTTCCATGCTATGACTTTAAGAGCATTACACTGAAACAAACAAGAAGTTAAACGACATTTTTTTTTTTAAATCCCAGAAATATACCAAAATATACATCTAAGCTTTGGAATTACTGAGGTTAGACTAATGCAAGTGCTGGGTAATCGTACTTAATACACAAGTCTAAGGTTCTGCAGGAAAGAAATTTTCTTTGGTATCTGCATCAGGCTAATATTATTAACATTTGGATTTTGCTTTGGGATAGAGCTTGTATGACCCTAGAACCAAATACCCCCCTCCCCCAATCAACTGAGATTAAAAAGATCCATGTAAAAAGTTCCTTCATTTGCAACCCCCCAGGTTAAAAAGTCACAGGCATCGACCTAGCGCGAGAGGTTGTGAAGTACAATGCATAGTTGCACAGTGGTGCTGGGAGGGGAGACAAACCGCAGTGGAGAGAAGCGAAGTGCCCGATGGGCGTCCTGCGGCCTCTGGCCACCCCAAGCAGCTCAGTGGAGGAGAGAGGAAAGCTCCGAGGCCCTGACCAAAGCCCTGCGAGCGGACCACCGCGCAGTGTCCCAACTTCCCCCACTCTGCGGGGCCTGTGGCCTGGCCAGCAGCGGCTCTGGCCCCCTAGTCCCTGTGCTAAGTCCCCCTGGTGGCCCTGCTTGCAGTCGGATGGAGTATGGTGTGACGGGGTTTGGGAAATCTGAAATGCCAATTGCTTCCTGGCATGCTCACAAGCTGGCAAGCGCCAAAGCCACCGAGACACACCTGAACGAAACCCCCGGCGTGGAAAACGGCTCCCCGCCCTTTAGAGTCCGAGGCCCCTGCCCGGCCCCACTGCGCCAAGTGCCAGGACGTGGCGAACTGGCTGATGCTGAAGACTTACTTCCCTTTTCTTTGGTTTTTTTGTTTGTTTTGAGTTTATACAATCATTAAGAAATCTTTGGTTTTGGCTGGAAATTTAAAAACAAAACAAAACAAAACAAAGAAACCACCCTCCCCTGGCTTATAGCAGCAGTCTGAGACCTGGCGAAGGGTTTCTTCAGCTTTACGGGTGGGAATGGGAGGCCAAGCACTACATTCAAAGAAAAGGTGAAGGGCTGGGGATGCAGCTTCTGAAGAGCCCACTGAATATAAGATTGTCAAATAATAATAATATAATAATAATAATAATAATAATAATAAACAACTTAAATATTTGGATTTTTTTTTTTTTTGGTCATGTCAAAGGAAAAAAGTGAAATGTGTACGCAGCAGTCCACTCCAAGGGACCTTTGGTGTCTTCCCTTTCACCCAGGTCTCAGGGGAAGGAGACGGCCTGGACCCCACCTGGGGAGAGGCAAGGACAGAAGTCAATGTGTGGCCAGAGTCAGAAATACGGGGTGGGGCGGGGCGCAGACAGCTGGCACCCTGAAGGCAGGTGGCAGGACAACCAGGTTATGAGACCTGGGAAGACCCTGGCAACAAAAGGAACCCTGGGCTGCGACCCGCCCCAGCTCGCAGTAGCCTCTGAGCAGCGGCATTCAGGGGCTCCTAGGGTCCCACCCTAGCCACAGGTCCCACAATGCTATAGGCCAGAGTTCAGCGTTGCCGAAAGGGGAGGGTGGGTTGGGCAGCTCTGTGGGGCTGAGAGGAAGTTAAAGCAAGCCACTCAGTCACGAGTTAGCAATGAGGTATACAAGAGCTCCCACGCCAGGTGGGCAGAACTCTGTGCTCCTCACTCGCCTCTGTCACTGCTGTCCCGTGCAGGCGGTGACCTGCAGGGCCAGAACCC